TTAAAAATAATAATTTTTACTTAAAAAAACTGGTATATATTTTAATAACTAATATATATATATATATATATTATATAAATTATATTTACATTTAGAAATTAATGATGAAGATTAATCAACCATTTTTTTAAATAAATCTCATTACAAGTTTATAAAAAAAAACAATTTTTTATTTCAATAACAAATAGATCATTTAAAATTAATAAAACATTTAGTTCTAAATAAAGCACAGATTATGTATTATAATAAATAAAATTTAAATATATTTTTTAATAAATAAATAGTAATTATAAAATATTTCAATTCTTTCATTATTTAAAAATGGAAAATTTTAGTATAATATTATATTAATATATATTATTTTTAATCTATATATATATAATAAATATATTTATATATATATATATTATAATTTTTATTACATATTATAATATTTAATTTTTTTTACAAGAAACAATGAAAACTCTAGTTATTTTTCTAAATTTATACCAAAAATTATAACAACATATGATAAAACATCATTATATGAAGAATTATATAAACTTAAACAACATTATAATGTTATTAATTAAGAATATTTAGAATTAAAAACTAAAAATAATGCATTACAAGTAATATATTTTATAATATATAAATATTTTAATATATATTTAAGGATAAAATTGATAAATTATAAAAATATAGTTAAAAAAATATAGAAGAAACTTCTTATAAAAGATTATTTATTAAACAAGAAGATTATATTAATGTAATATATATTTTTTTTCTAAAAATTTTAAATAATTATATTAGTAATTTGAAATTATTTATAATTTAAAAAAATAAATAAATCAAATGTAAATTGAAATTAAATAAAAAGATGATTTTATCTAATAAATATAAAAAAAAAAAAACTCTACTTAGTCAAAAGAACTTGAAGTTTAATTAAAATAATATGAATTAGAATGTATTCGATTAAAAAGAATGCTCTAAAAAGCTCTTTCAATATAAAATAATTAAAATTATGACATTGTAAATATTTTAAAATAAGATAATATAGAACTTACAGCAAATTTAAAAGAAAAAGAAGAAGAAACATATGCATATAAAGTATTCTTTAATTATAAAAAAAAAAAAAAAAAATTAATTTAAAACTTTTAATAATTTTTTTAATTTATAAAAAGATTTAAATTAATGATTTATAAAAAAATGTGAAAAAACTAAAAGAATAATGCACTTATTAATAAAGGATTTTAAAAAAAAAAATGAAGAGCTATAAAGTTTTAAAGGAACAGATCCGTTTTTTTAAGGGAAAAATGATAAAAAAAAAAATAGTATACAACTGAAGGTTAATTAAAAATTGAAATAGAAAAGAAAAACTAAGAAATTAATTAATTAAGAAACTCTTATTAAATAAAAGAAAATAAACTTTTCGAAAACGAGAAAAAATTAAGGGAAAAAGAAGCAGAATTTTAGGATAAAATAAATTAAGAAATAATGGAAAAATAAGAATTAATGCTTAGTTTAAATCAATAAAAGGAGTAAATTATATAAATGAGGGGAGAATTAGATAAATTTTAGAAATTAGAAAGAAGAATATCTAAATTAAATTTATAATATTTAAGTAGTATTCAAACTCCGATTAATTATTAATAAAGTGACAATGATCATAGGGAAAACGACAATAAAAATGCAGGATTATTTTCTCAATAGTATATTTTTCCAAGCTTTATTTAAGTGTTATAGAAAAAGAAACTTCCGAAAGTAAATTTTGAAGATATTTAATAACTTGGATTTGAATTAAAATTTAAATTAAAAAAATATAAAATTCCATTTTGTAAAGCTTTAGAATTGTTTCTTTAGAAAAATTAAGAAGAAATTTCTATAGAAGAAGTTTTTTTAAAATTAAAAGAAAAACCTTTTGAAATAAAAAAAGAAAGTGATATCCTTAATATTAGTAGATTTTTAGTAGAAGATAATAATTAAGATCATGTTTTTTTAATTTAAATTAGAAAATTAATTCGGAAATCTTTAGTAGTGTATTAAAGTTCTTTTTAGGTAATTATCTAATTTAAGATCAGGAAGAAGAAAAAAGAATTAGGATTAAAATTTGTAATTTTATATTCAAAAAAAAGAAATTATAATAGATATGCTTACAAAGGATAATTATTATAAGAAAAATGAAGGAAGTATATATTGTAGTTTAAAGTCTTTAGAAAATATATTAATTTAAAATGATTTTAAATTGGATTATTAAATAAAAGATGTACTTTTTTATGATATTTATAACAAAGAAAAAAATATAGTATAGTTCAAATTAGATAGAATTTTTGAAATTTTTAATATATAAAATTTTTCTTAAATTGATATTGAAGCAGTTGAAAATAATGAACCTTTTTAAAGTAAAAATTAAAATATATATATATATGTATATAAATATTAAATATAATTATTTCTAATTGAATATAGTTATTTTAAATAAATATTGTAATACAATTAAAAAAATTATAATCAACAAAACAATCAAAATATTATTTATAATATAATATATAATAAATATAATTTTATTCAAAAATATACATAATTATTTATAAATATTTATTTTTATAAAAAAAAGATGATTATAAAAATATTAAAATATAATTTTAAGATTATATTATAGGTTAAGATTGAAAATAAAAAAAATATATATAGATATATAAATATATAAATAAATACTTATATTTATTATTATCTTAATATTAAATTTCTAATATAAATTTTATTATTTAAATTTAAAATAATAAAAATTAATAAATTATAATATAGATTTTATTATATATATAAAATAAAAAAAATATAATTAAATAATAAAATTGTTATTTAAATATAAATATAATATATATATATATATATATATATATATATAATTTCATTCTAAATATGAATATGTTTAACATATATTTTATGCTAATTAAAAATTTCCAAGTTTTTTTTATATTAAAATCAAATTAAAAACTGCTTATTTATAAATCTTAAAATCTTTTTATTCTTAATTTATATTTTATAAATAAAAATTTTTCTGTTTTCTTTCTTCAAAATAATATATTGATTTTTCTAAATTTTTTATAGCCTCGTAATTCATACTTAAATGTATGTAAAACCTACCTAAATTATAAAAAACTTCCATTTTTTCAATATTTCCTCTACTTTAACTATATAAATTCATATAATGTACTGCGTGTCGGGTTTATTCTTCTTTATTAAAGACTGTTCTGGCTGTTGCCAATTATACGTAACAAGCTGCTAATGATAAATTAGCTAAAGAATTAAATTAATCTTCACTTTATATTTATTCAAATACTTATATAGCCAATCTAAAGTTTGCAGTTTCTAAAAATCCGCAAGCTACTATAGGTAATAAATTATGAAATTTTTTAGATTTTCTAACCAATCTTGTTAAAAAAGTCTTATAGATACTTTAATTCTCAATTTTATTTAAAATTAATGATAATATTACTTATAAATAAAGTTTATTAGAGTATTTATTTACTAATAATTTAATATAATAAAATGCTTTATAGAAATTCTATATATAAAAATATTAATTATTATATATTTAATATTATATTTTTTTTTTTTTTTTTTCTAACTTTTAATTTTAAAGAAGATAATAATCCGTATTAATAAATAATTTCTTAAAAGCTTGTATATTAATTTTCTTTTAAAAAAGGTAATTTACTAGTCAGAATTGTTATATTAAAAATTTTAAAATATAAATTATTCTTTAATAAAATCTATAATATTTTAACGATATAATCCAAAAATTATTCCTTTCCGACTAACGAGCTTAATTATTGGATGTTTTTGAGATAATCTAGTGTCAATTAGATTGATTTTTTCTTCTTTTTTTTCATCAAAATTTCTTAGTCGTCTTAATACATCTTCTTTTTGATTAAAAGGGACTATTATATATTATCGAATTAATTTTAAAGGCTATTTTCGGGTATTTTAAGTCGTTTTTTAAAGCCTTTTTTCTAACTTTCGATAAGGAATTTATTCATTACTTATTTTTTGAGTATATTATACTCTTTTTCAAGGTTTAGTGCTTTTTTAATTACTTATATTTGTCTTTATAATTTAAATAAATTTAGATTTTGACTGTTTTGGAGGATTAGTTAACCTTTTTTATATTCCAGGAATAATTTTTTGACGTCATATTTTTAGAGGAGTTAATTTATTTTATTTTCAGTTTGTTAAAAGAAGTCTTTTTGAAAAAATTGTTCAATATTATCGTTTTTTTTTAAGCGGAAATTTTCCTTTTCTTATGAATTTAATTCTTCGTCAATAAAAATATACTCCGCATCTTCATTTTGACTTAAAATATTCAAGGATTCAACATTTCGGCCTTCCTATTGATATTTTTATGATAAAATCATCCTTAAATCAATTATTTAGGGATATTCTTTAATAATATTCTCAACTTTGAGTATGTTTTAGGGTGTGTAGTTTAAATTTAATAATAAAATGCCATATTTTTCATATATTTCTTGCCTTTTATGACTATCTTAAATGTTTAGTTATGTCAAAGTTTCGTATATTTTTAATGATTTTTATTAATCTTAGGCTTCTGTGTACATTTCGGATAATTCTTGCATTAATTTTATATATTCTTAGTCTTCATCCTGTAATAAAGAAAATTATCTCTTTTCAATAGTGTTTTGGAATATTAAGTCACTTTTTTATGTTTAGGAGGTTCTATGTAAAGATATAGCGTAAAATATTTATATTGATAAAGGTAATTGTATTATTTTTTATATTTAATTCTCAAAAAGTTCTTATTTAGTTATTTATAATATTTCATTTAAAAAATCAACTAAATTCTCAAATTATTATTTCTATTAATTTTTATATAATTAATATATATGTTTTTTTTTACCATATTATATATTTAACATATCATATGAATTAAATTAAAATCTTTGTTTTCTGTATTGTTTTTAGTATATTTTTTAAGTATTTTAATACTTTCTTCATGATTGTCAAGTTTTAGATAAAGCTATGGATATATATATATATATATAAAAAATTAAATATATTCAAAAATAAATATATATATTTTTTTATATATATATATATATATATAATTACTTTTGCACAATTTTTTACAGCTTCTATATTATTTTCATTCATAAACATAACTTTTTCATAACAATGAATCGCCTTTTTTAATTCTCCTATTTATTAGTAACATTTTCCTCTTTCAAACCATAATTAAGAGTTTTATCCTTCACTTTTTAATGCTCTACCAAAACAATAACCCGCACTATCAAAGCATTTTGCTTCTTTATATAAATAACCTATTTATTCCCATTTTTTAGCTGAAGAATTACTCTAATAAGCTGCTAAAAATTAATATTCAGCAGCTTCTTTTATCATTTTATAGTCTTCGAATATATTTCCTAATAATTCATAAGGATCAGAAAAAGATGGATATTGGCGAATTATATCTTTTGCTATTTATATTGCTTCAGTGGCCTTATCTTGAAAATAATATTTGTAATTTGCATCTCCAATTAGTTGTGTTATTTAAGGAGGAATTTTTTACTGTCTTTAATACTTATATCGGGTTTTTAAGTCTTTATGGCGTTACTCTTCATCAGAAAAATCGCTTTTTTTATATATTTATTTTATTTTTATATTTTTTACGAATATAGATCACTATTATTTTCTTGAGTGTCTTCCATATTTATTTATAAATAATATATGTAAATTATTTATATTATTATTATTATATATATATTATATTTATAAATATATATATATATATATATATTATTTATATATATAAAATTATTTGTTTATATATATAATTTTTAATATGTTATTTATATAAAATCTAAAAGATTTTTTATATATAAACATTTTTATAATTAGACAATAGTAAAACTTAATAATTGGTTTAGAATAGGATATTAAAAATAATTTTTATATAATTTAGTTATTAATGTATGTAAATATATATAAATTAAATTTATTAATTTTAATATTTTATACTTATAATTTAAATATAATAAAAAATATATCATATTAAATTAAAATTTTATTAGTTTTTTTTTTTTTTTAAATTATAGAAATTTTTAAATATTATGAATTTTCTTTCAATAATGAAATAACTAATACATTTTTTTTTGTTAAAACAAATATAAAAAAATATTATATCATTTAATAAAAACATAAAACAATATTTTATTTTATTTAATTTTTAAATCAAAAGAAAAAACAATAAAAATGTATAATAATACAAACAATTATATATAATAATAAAATTAAAATAATTACAATAATATACAATAAGATTATTATAATTAATAATCATAAAACAAATAAATATATAAAAATGAGTATATGCATTAAAATTTGGATGAATTTATGAAATATTTTATTTTTTTTGGAATAAATGAACATTAAAAAATAACAAAAAATGATCTTTTAATAGTTTTAGATAATGTAAATACTATTTTTTAAAAAAAATAAAAATAAAATAAAAAGTAAAATAAAAAATTTGATTAAGAAATACTTTAATAATTATTAGATTAATTAAATGACTAAAATAGTTTTACACCAATAGAATTTTTATAGGCATTAATATAAGCCGATAATATTTTAAGTTAAAAAATATAAAATTGTGATTAAGAAATAAACGAAATAAAACGGAAATTAAATTAATTATTAGACCAATTGTAAGAAGCAAGAAACGAAGAAGATATATATATATAAAGAGGCTTTATAAATAAAAAAAGTTAGCTTATTATATATGTAGAATAAGCAAAAGGATTAAATTTGGGAAGTTATTAAGTACAAATAGAATATTTAAATACTATAATGAAATCTTAAATATGTATAAATAGTGATAATCCAATATTTAATTAATAATTCTCAATGTTTCTTTGTTTTTTTTTTTTTTATAAAATAAACAAAAAAAAGAAATATAATAATATATTTAATATTCATTTATTTTTTTTTAAAAAAAAAATAGAAATATTAATTATGATAATAATTAAAATCATATAGTTTCTGTGTATTTATATAATGTTACGAATTAGTTTGTTGAAGGAATTGTTACCTTAAAGTTGAAATAATTCAGCCATTAAAATAAAGTTAGTGAATGGTATATTTTAGAAGACTAAGGAGGAGCTTTAGGCGATATTAATAAGTAAATTAATCTTACTGTATAATGGGTGCATTCAAAAGTACTTTTATTTGAAAATATTTTGAGATAAAATGATTATTTTGAACCTATTTTATAATAAGAAGAGGAGAAAAAATAAGATTTTTAATAAATTAAATAGTAGATTCTATTTCCTTTTTAAAGAAATTTTAATGAAATGAAAAATGTTTCGTTATAGAAAGATTCATAAAGTTAATATTAGATGTAATAAATTTTATATAAAAAAGAGGAAGATCATGCATCTTCTTTTTTAGTTTTTAATGAATATTTTACATATATTTTATTGGGATTGGCTTTGTTTATTTGTTTATTTAAATATGGATTTTTAGATGTGTTATATTATATATATTTATATATATATAATTATTTATATATTTAAAAGTTGACTTATAGTCTATTTATTTTGAGTTAAAACATTAATTTTAATTATTAGAAATTTATTTATGCAAGTAGTTTTATTGGTTTTAGTATTTTTTTGGATTTAATTTGGATTATATTTTGTAAAGGAAATGAAATTTATAATGTTTTTATAGTTATTTTTATTGTTTATAAAGTAAATTTTTTTAAAAAATAATTATTTTACATATATAAAAATATATTAAAAAAAGGTATTTTATTTAATTTTATTGTATTAATAAAAAATAAAAATTTGAGTCTTTTTATTTTTATTTTTTTTTATACAAAAAAAATAAAAATAAAATCAATTTATATTAATATTTTTGTATTTATATTATATATTTTAAAAGATATAATAATATAAAAAAAAAAAAAAATTTCGTAAATAATATATATATTTTTTTTTTATTTTTTTTTTTTAAAATAAAAATTCAATATTCATCATCTTCTTCTTCTTCTTCATCAATTGGATCTTCAAAATCTTCCTCGTCATCTTCAATAATCATTTTATTTGGAATTTTTTTCCTTAAATTCCTTCCCTAACCCACATCATTATATTTTTCTATATTATTTTCTTTAATAACTACTTCATTCCCATCTTCAAAATCGGAATTATTTTTTTTCTTTTATTTATTAATTTTCCTTTTACTCTATAATTATTATTAATTACCTTATTATTAAATTTTATTTATTGGTTTTTTTTTAATTTCTTTTTTTTTTAATCCTCCTAATAATGTATGACTATTCGAATTCTCGAAATTTTCCTTTTAAAAACTTAATATTTTACTCTCAAACTCTTCTATAAGGCTTTTAAGTTCTTATTTTTACATTCTCTTAAGCTTACTCAGTACTCCCTAGAAATTTTCCATAATAGTATTATTGGTTAATTTTTCCCTATAACTTTCATAAAACTCAAGTAATTTCCTAATTCCCTTTTCATTATAAGAGAGTTAACTTAAACAAAAAGAGCAATTAATCCATTCCCTTTCATTATTAGAATTAATAAATCTCAGGCATAATTTTTCAACTAGAGATTCCGAAAATTTCTCTTTTTCTAAATATTACATGATGTTTTTGGCAAAATTAATAAACGTGTCTTCTTTTATAATCGCCCCTAATTCGGTTTTTTCACACCTACTCATCCTCCCAATAGCCTCCGGCAGTAAGTTATAGATAATTTTGCTGTCTTTTTTATGTAATTCATGTAAAAAAAGCTTCACTATATTCTAAATTTGCGGTTCTGGGTCTTCTAATAATAAAGCAACTTCGCATATTTCCCCTTTTATTTTCATCATGTCATTTAAAATTAAATGAGTAAGCACCATCATAGTTGTTTTTCTTACTTATAAATCTTAATCGTGTAGTTTGGCGAATATTTTCTGGTTAAAAGGCTCTACTAGATTCGGGTATTTATGTAAGAGATCCCCTAGAGATATTATAATGTTTATTTTTAGAATATGATCTGTTTTTGGGCTTTCTAAAAGTTGGAAAAGCTTCATTAAGTTCTACTCGCAGTATTTTTTTGATACACACATAAATTTAGAAAAGGCCAAAACTGCCACTCGGTCCAGTTCTTTGTTTCTTTCAGCTGAAAATTCATCTAATAAGATATCTTAGACGATTTTTTCAATCCAAGGACGGTAATTTGCGAGCAAATTTTGACCTCTTATGATATTTTCTTCACATATTTAGTGTAAAATGTCTACTTTTTTCTCGTATTCGGCCTCTAGACCTCCACAGATTTTGTCTAAGTGCTATTCTTCTTGGTTTTGGTTGTTGTTTTGATCGTTTTTATTCTCTTCTTCTTTCTTTTCTTTTTCTAAACGCTTCTTTTTGAGTGCGTTTTCGATGTCATCGACGTATATGAGAAGTTTAAGGGCGCAATGGCCCACAACAAATAATAAATGGGCTAATTTTCGTTCAAAAATAAGTTCTTTGGTATCATTTTATGTTTCTAAAAGTGATTCGTTTTCAAGATTTTGGGTTAGTTTTACGATAAAATTTCTCATGGTCTATTCCGGGTTGATTTCTTATTTAAAAATGGTGTTTATTAATTACTCGGAGGCACAATACCATTCATTTTGGGATGTTCCTTGATTTTTTTCGAGTAAATATGTCATATTTTTGATAATATTTTCGTTTTTAAAAGCTTATAGCTCCAATAAAGTCAGGATCTCCTTAAGGATTATCCAGTCTATTTATAAAGGGGGATTCTAGAGAGCTTTTTTGGTAATTTCTTGTAAAGATTGAACTTTGTTTATGGCAAATATTTCGTATTTTTTTTTTTTTTTATTCTAAATAGAAGATGATATTCTCAATATACGAATTGAAGCTCTTGAAATTTCGTTTTTTTCAATTTAAATTTATTAATTATTATTATTATTTAGTGTATTTTAAGATTAGAGAAATATTTCCCATATTTTTTCGAGAGTTTTTTAAGAGATATAAAACTGATTATTTTTAAGGTTTTTTTCCTCGTTTTCGTTTTCGTCTTTTTAAATTTAAATTATTAATTCTTCTAAAGAAGTAAGCTCATTTAAAGAAGCTTTTTGGAATAATTTTATTAGATTTATGGCTACTCCTTCTGGTTTATATTAAGATTCGTCCATATATAGGTTCCAATAAGCCTTCATTAATTCGTCTTTTATATGTTTTTCTTTATTCCATATTAAAACAAGCATTTTCATAACGCCTTCTTTTGCACTTTCGATATTTAATTAATGTAAATATATTAAAACACGAATACTTTCGATTACATCATAGTATTATTTAGAACCGAGAAGTTATATTAAATTAGGCATTATCAAGTCAATTTAATTAATAAAATCATAATATTCATTTAATGTTAATTATAAGTTTTTTACATTTTCTAATTTTCTTTTTATTTAATTTAAATCAGCATTTAATTCATCAAAATTATCTTTATTTTCTCTATGATTATATATAAAATTTATATATATAATTTATATATATTTATACATATTTAATATATTTTCTTCTGTTTATTTAAATTCTTAAAGTAGTTCATTTTTTTCATGTTCACTAAAATCTAATTATTATTAAATTTCTTTTTTTGTAAGAAATGTTTCATGCTATTAACTATGAGCATAAATACCGAAATGAAACTAAACTACTTTTATTAATAATGAAATTGCCCTTTTTCTTACGTTTGCTGAGCTATCTTTGATCCTATCACAAGCACACAATAGAAATTGTTTCAAAAATTTCTTTGGTACTACATTTTCTTGACATAAGTCACTTAAAATACTCAATAAACATGATCTGGAAAAGGCATGTTTATCGTAAACTCTCGAAAGTAATGTTTCAATTAATTTTTCTCTTGCCTTTTTATGATTTTCTTCTTGCTCTTCTTCTTCGTTATCTTTTGAGAGCACTCCTTTTATTATATTTCCTATTATTTCCATGACTGCATTTCTCAAATGATATGCTTCATTATCAAAAAGTTGGATAAAACACGATAAATTATTGTAGAAAATTTTGGGGATTTTTTCTGACATTTTTAAGAGGAATTCCTTTACATTTCTTACTGCTTAGGATTCTGTATTTACATTAGTTTAATTTGCATAATTAACTAATTTTATTAATGTATCTATACATAATTAAGAGAAATTTGTATTTTCTTCTTATATATCATGTGTATATATTAAAAAATCACAAATGTATTATACTATATTTTCTTCTTCATATATAAGATTTATTAATTTAAATTAAATAGAAGTCAAAGAGTCTGTATTTAAGAAAATTACTTTTTTTAAAATATTAAAAATAGTTTCTTTTGCATTTTAGGTTTTTAATAATTATTTGCTTTCTAACATTTTTAATGATACTTCATAATAATATTTTAATAATTAAGAATCAGGCTATTTACCTCGCCAAAGCTTTTTTAAATCAATTTCTAACGATTCACCTAATAATTTTAATAAAATAGCCTACTTTTCTTATATTTTTTCACTATTTTCACACGTTGGTTGATTTTTTTGTTTATTTTAAGGGGCTGTGGTACATAATAATTACTTTTTTTAGTTTTTTTTTTAACAACTAGCATTAAGGTAATAAAAAGATAAAAAGGCAAACATTTTAAAGGTATCTCGAACATCACTTTTTATATCTTCGTCAATATTTTATTAATCAATTATTTGAGTTATGATTCTCTCGAAATGAGTACAAATTATATCACCAATTTTAGTAATTATTTCGATATTTAGTTTGTCTTTATTATCTTCCATAATACTTTAAAATAAAATATGAAATTTATATATGTATATGTATTATATATATATAATAATATTTATAAATATATATATATATTCATATATATTTATAATATTTATTTGTTTATTTTAAATTTTTTAATATTCATAAATAAAATATTTAATATAAAGAAATAGTAATTATAATTATAATCTATTTTATATTTATTTTGATTCAAAAATTTAATTACACGAATTATTAATAAATTATATTATATATATTTACCTTATAGACCAATATAAGTAATCGAATCTTTCGTTATCTTTTATTATATTAATATCATCATATATTGCGCGATCAAGTTCAGTTAAAATTCTTTTTATTGTTTTTTCATCATGATTTTTTACGGTATTTGGATTTTAGATCTTTTTGTTTTATCTTTATATATATATATATATTTTATACTCTATATCTGTTGTCGGATGCTTATTCTTTTAAATCACTGAATGCGAATGGAAACATAAAATAGTCTATCATTTTGTTTTTCTTATATTATTTTTATTTTTAAGTTTAATATTATTATTATATAATACTTAATAATTATTTTTTATTATTAAAAAAAATTGTATATTTTTTGTTTTTAATTAAAGGCGGGTTATAATATGTTTTTAAATTTTTTTTTTATTTTTTAAAAAAAAATTAAAATATACGTATTTTTGTAAATATATATATATATATAATAAAAAATAATATTAACTTAGAATATATTATTAAAAATAATTAAATTAGTATAATTATATAAATATATAATTAATTTTTTTTTTTGAGACATTACTTTTAAAATATCATACTAAAAATTTAACAATATATTAACATAAAATAATATCAAATATATTATTATAATTATATAATTATAAAATAGTTATAATTTTTTATTTATTTAAATTAAAAATTTATCTTATATATTTATAAAAATAGTTATTTTAAGCTACAATATATTTTATTTTTTTAATATTATTTAAACAAATATTTTATATAATAATAAAAATAGTTTTTTGCGATTTTAATATTTTTTTTAAATATAAATAAAAATATTTGAATTTAATTTTGTTACTATACTGTCAATTATTAAAATTTTTAAAATTTAATAAAAGCATTTAATATTATGTTATTATTATTATTTTTTTTAAATAATTTTATAGTAAAAAAGTATCTTAAGTAAATTTTAAACTTATAAATATATAGAAATAATATTAATTGTTAAATAGTTAAAATATTTTAAATTTATTTAAATATAAAATAATATGTATAAATTATATTGATTTATATATATAATTCATTAATTTATAATTTTTTTTATTAAATTTAATAATAGAATAAAGTATTTAATATATAAAAGCAAAAATATTTATATATATTGATAATTAATTATAATTAAATAATATAATAATTTAAAAGGATTAAGACTAATATAATTATTTTGAATAAACATAATTTTAAATTTAATTAAAAATATATAATAATATGTATAAATTTATAATATTTCATCTAGGCTTATATTTAGATTTATTATAATTTATATAATAAAATTAAAATAAAATATAAAAAAACCTTTAAACATTAGTTATATAATTTTTTTGTTTCTATTTTGATTAAAAAAAAATAATAAAATAAAAATATTTTTTTTTAAAAAAATTAAAATGATTATGTATGTATATATTAATATTAGATTTTTTATTTTATTGTTAAATAAATTATAAATAAAATTAAAAAAAATGTAAAAAAGAATAGTCGATATTAAAAATAGATAAAATTTTAAAATAGAAATTTTAAAAAAATATATTATATTAAAAGCATAATATATATTTATATATATATATATATTATATATTTTATAATATATTATTTTATTTAACTTTAAAAAATTTTTTTTCAAAATTAAAATCTTTTATTTTTATATTTATTTTAAAAAAAGAATTAAACTAAAAATAATAAAAATATAAAAATAAACCCAAATTAAAATATAAAAAATGAGCCTAAAATTAAAATAAAAATTAACTCATATTAATAGTAAAAAGTAAAAATTATAAAAACACTAAGAAGAATCTCCTTAAATATCATAAGATGAAATCAAAATTTAAGAAGAATTAAATTCAATATAAGAATAAAATATTACAAAAGATAAAAAAATTAAAAATAATAATTATCTTAATAATAGTAATTGGTTTTTAAGCAATTTTATTTAACATACGACTAGTTAAAAGAAAAAATAATAAATTAAAGGAAAAAATCTAAGAATTATAAGGTCCTGAAAACCGAAATAGAAGAAAACGTGTATTTTACGAATTAAAATAAACAGAAATAGCTTTAGAAAATCCCTAAAAATATTTAAAAGATCCTACTTTTGATTAAAAAAAAAAGAATAAGATGAATATAAAAGGACCTAAAAAAACTTGATAAAAAGCGCAAATAATAGAATGAAATAAAAAGTAAATAAAGAAAAGAATCAAGATAATAATAGAATCTATAATGTTTAAATTGTAGAGAAATAGGACATAAGGTTTCTGAATGTCCCTAAATTATATCAAATATAGAAAAAAAAGTATCTGTTATAATTGCGGATCGGATGAACATATATTAAAAAATTGCAAAAAACCAAGAAAAGGAGATACTTTGAAATTCGCAAGTTGCTTTGTTTGTAATAAAAAAGGTCATATTAGCAGGGATTGCCATTAAAATTAAAAAGGTTTATATTTTAAAGGAGGAAGTTGCTTTATTTGCGGAAATGTACATCATACATAGAAAGATTGTCCATAAAATCCTATTAATAGTATTTAGAATAAAAATGATAAAACTAATAATAAAGAAAATTAAGAAATTAATAATAATAATAATGATGATGGTGATGATTAAGAAGTTTATAATGAATATTAATAAGATGCTTAATAGGTAGATATATAAAAAGAAGATAAAGTTATGAAAAAAAAGAAAAATATTTCGAAGAAGAAAAAAAAAGTATAAGTTAATGAAGATTATGATGTTAATTTAGAATAAGAACCTGATTTTTGAATGATCTTTTTTATTTAATAAATAAATATTATTATACGCATTATTTATATAAAGTATTTATATAAAAAAATTACATTAATTTATAATTTTTTGGATTAATTTTTAAAAAATATTTTTATAATATATTATATTTTTAGTAAAATTATTGTATTATTTGAAATATAATTTTTTTTTAAGACTTTACAATATTAATTAAAAAAAAAAAGGTTTATATTTATTGAAATCTTGTATATTGGCAAAAAAATAAATTATAAAAAAGATTTATTTACAATTTTTTTCTTATTTATTAGTTAAATTAATAGTTCTATTTTGTTAGGAATGTATTTAATTTTTATTTTTTTATTAAATAAATAAATATTTATTATTACTTTAATTATTAAATAAATAATGGGATAATATACTATATAATACTTTAATTATATACTATCTTACTTATATAAAATTAATTACTAATAATTTTAAGTTTACTATAGAAAATTAATTAATATATTAATTATTTTATAAAAAATTAATATATTTAATAAAATAATATATTAAATAGAAAAAATTTTATATATATTTTTTTTTAAAAAAAAAATTATGTTTTTATGAATATAAAAATTAATTTAAAATTAATCATATCAGTTATATTATGATTTTCAAGAAATATTTGTGATTATTAATGTCAAATATAAACATTTTTTTTCTCTAAAAAATAAATAAATTATATTTACCTTTATCATTTTAAAGAACTTAATACTTATTTGAATTTTAAGCAAAAATATTTAAATTTTAAAAAATAGAAAATTAATGAAAGCTATATATAATAAAACCTTAAAGAAAAAATTATTTTAATAAAATTAAATAATATCAGGAATATATCCTTCAAAATTTTAAATAAATGAAGCATTAAATATAAAATAGTAATTTAATTATTAATATTAAGAATATATTACGAATATTAAAAATAAATTAAAGCAAATAATATTATTTAAATAAGGAAAATTATAATAAAATTTTATATAATTTATAAATACTTATTTAAAACAATAACTATATTAAAACAGAATAGTTTATTTAAAAATAAAGGCATAAAAGAAAAAAAATCGAAACTAACTTATATGACACTATTAATAATTTTTAATTTTAGGAAAAAAAATTTATACGAATATTTATTTTGTTTATTAAAAAAAAGATTATATATATTGAATTTTTTTTTTTTTAGTTTTTAAATAATTTTTCTTTTCCTTATTCTTAAATTGGTTATATTTATTGAATATAAATTCAATGTTTAAAATGATTATTCTTAATATTAATTTTGAATAATAAGGTGTTACAGTAAATAAATAATATAGATAGTTGAAATCAAATCAAAACAAATTAAAAAATAATAAAATAAACAAATTTTATTTAATTAAGATTCTAATAAAAACAAAATTATAATTTTAAATAAATATTCTTTAGTTGAATCTTAATTTTAATTATAAAAATAAATATATTAATGAATTAAAAAATATCAATATAAATATAAAATAATTAAAAATAATATATATATATATATATATATAATTATAATATATATATATGTATATATGTATATATATATATTTATTAAATTTTTTTATTGTGTGAAAATATATCATATTATAAATATAAGTTTTAAAAATACATATTCATATCTGAATTTACATAGAATAAATATCATTTTAATTTTTGTTATATCAATTAATTATTATAATTAAATATTAATTTTAAAATTTTTAATTATTAACTATAAATTTAATTATATTATTTTATTTGCTGGATATATATTTTTTTTTTTTTAAAAATAATATATTTTATTTTAATGAAATATATATATAAAAAATTAGTTTCAAAAAAATTAAAAATATATATATATATTTATATATATATGTATATAGCGTATAATTTAATATTAAAAAATACATTAAATAATTTATATAATAGATTAATTTATATAATTATTTACTGAGTATATAATAATTTATGAATAAATATGAGATTTTAGGAGTTGTAGGTGAAGGAGCATATGGTATAGTTTTAAAATGTAAAAACCGAGAAACAGGAGATATACGTAAAAAGCTATATAGATATTAAAAAGACCAATTTTTTTCAAAATAATTAATAAAAAAAATAAAAAAAATAAAAAAAACAAAAAAAAATAAATAAAAATATTAATTTAAAAAAAAATAATATATATATAAAGTTGCAATAAAGAAATTTAAAGAAACTGAAGAAGATGAATAAGTGAAAAAAAATATTTAAAGGGAAGTTAAAATGTTAAAATCTTTAAAACATAAAAATATAGTAGGATTAATAGAAGCATTTAAACGGTTTTTTTTATTTTTTATAAAAATAAATTAAATTAATTCAAAAAATTCATCAATAATATAAAGCTTATTTAAATAAATAATATATATTTATATTAAAAAATAATATAAAGAAAAGGAAGAATTTATTTGGTTTTCGAATATGTTGAAAAAAACCTTTTAGAAGTTCTAGAATAATCACCAGATGGTTTAAACGTAAAAAAATAAACAATAAACAAATAATAAAAGTTAAAAAAAGCCTGATTTTATAAGAAAAATAATATACTAACTATTAAAAGCATTAGATCATTGTCATAAAAATTTAATAGTCCATAGAGATATAAAACCTGAAAATTTATTAGTAAATAGCAAAGGAGATTTAAAATTATGTGATTTTGGTTTCGCAAGACCTTTACCATGTAAAAATCGCGAAATTTTAACAGAATATGTGGCTACTAGATGGTATAGATCACCTGAATTATTATTAAATGATCCTTAGTATTCTTTTCCTATTGATATATGGGCAGTAGGGTGTATTATGGGAGAATTAATTGATGGGTAACCTTTATTTCCTGGAGATAGCGAAATAGATTAATTGTATCAAATTTAGAAACTATTAGGGCCTTTAACTCCAGACTAGAATGAAATGTTCGCGAAAAATCCAAGGTATGTGGGTATGAAGTTTCCAGAAATTAATAAACCGGAAACTATTGAAAGAAGATATTTAGGTAAACTTAGTCCAAGGGCTTTAAATTTTTTAAAATAATTGTTAAAAATGGATCCTAAGGAAAGATTTAGTGTATAATAATGTTTAAATCATTAATATTTTGAAGGAATAAGGGAAAATTTTGATGAAGGTGATGTTTTATCGTAGAATGGAAATAATAAATCAACTGAATAAGCGAATTTGGAAGGAATAAATAATATGAAAAGTTATGGAAGTAAGAATAATATTGATTAGAAATGTGAAGGAAAAGTAGAAATTATTAATAATTTTAATTATAATTATACTATTAATAATAATAGTATTAATAATCATAATATTAATAATAATTTTGATATAGAAGAAAAAGATAGTTAAATTGAAAAGAAAGTAAAATATAAAAATATACAAATATAAATATATAAATATATATATATATATATATATATATATATATATATATATATTTAATTATATTTATTTATATATATATATATATATAAGAGTTAAACTATCCATCATTAATAAAGTTAAAAAACTGGTGTTTATGTTAAGCTTAATAAAGAAAATAATTAAAAAATGTCTGGAAATAATTATTATTCATAAAATAAAATGCCAATTTTTTTATAGAATTCAAAAATGATATAAAACAAAGCTTATAATTATAAAATTGATGATTAATAAGAAGATTAAATAATTGATGATTAAAACTAATAAAATAATAATATTAATAATAACAACAATAATATCGATAACGAATAAGTTTAGCAGTCTTATAATAAAAATTAAGTATATTTTTTTATTATATTTATATTTTTATTATTAAAAAAAAGTCATTAACTAAAACATAAAAGAATTTTTATTAGTAAATAAATTAAAGTAAAATAAACAGCTAAATTTAACCTATTCCTTAATAAGGAGTTTTGCCTTTTATAAATAATAAATAAAAAGTATCTAATAATTCACCACAGTATTTATAGACAAAATGTCAAAATCCAAATAAATATACTTATTAGGGAAATTAAATTAATAATAATATGTAATATAATAATAATATTAGTAATAATAATAAAAGTTAATGAATGATTTAATAAGTTCGCAAAAAAGATAAAATTTAAACCTTATATATAACGCAAATACATTTAATTATGTTAATTGAGGTTCTAAAGGAAATAGTAATAATGTACGAAATTAAAGTTATAAAAAGAAAAATTATTGAAAAGTTTTTTTTTTTTTTTTTTTTTTTCGGGTATAAATAATATTATTTTTATTTTCTATTTATTATTTATTATATGTTTTATTTTTATTAATATTTTTTTTTTTTTGTATATTAATTTTTTTCATCTTTTTTTTTTTATATATTTTTCAGTTTTTTAAAAAACTAATAATCTATATATATATATATTCATTAATTTTTTTTAAAAAAGTTAGTTAATATTTAATATTTATTATATTGAATATTTATAAATCTTTATTTGATATAAATTTCCAAAAAAATATTATTATTATTTTTAATATTTTAGAATAAATTTTATATATACTTAGTAATAATGTTCAAAGAAATAGCTTTGAAATAATTAGAAAACGTCAAAAAGCAAGTAATAAAAAATCAAGTAAATATTTATGCCTATAAAACCGCTTATGTCCATAAATTAGCTAAACTAAGTGAATTATGTATAGTAGGTGGAATTCGTATATCAAATTATGCCTCAGAATTATGTGAATTATGTGTAGAAATTTTAGGTGCTGGTGAATAAGTATGGAAAAATTAATTTTAATTAGCTTTGAAGGAATAAGTTATAGTAGACAAAATATTTAAAAATAATATATATATATATATATAATAAAATACATTTATTAATAAAAAAATATAGGATTGTGTTTTGGAATATTTTGTATAAAATTGTGTAATAGCAATAGAGACCAATACATAAATATAAAAAATATTATTAATGTCTTTAGCACACTTATCATGCATTGATTACCCAAAGAATTAAGAGATATAAAGTTTAGGATTACGTTGTATAAATACACTGAAGAGAATGTTATAAAATAGCAATAAAAGTACAAAAGAACTTATTGAAAAATCTATATTGGAAGTCATTATTTAAAATATTAAAGTTAAAAATTGGACATAGCTTTAAGAAAGTTCAAATATAAGGAATTATTTCTTTCCTAGATATGCCAGAAATTGCTTATATTTTTGTTTATGATGATGAAATTTTAGTATTAATGCATGAATGGTTATATTAAGTAAAATTAAAAAAAAAAAAAATATATATAAAAAATTAAAAAAAAAGAATAAATATATTTATATATATATATATATATATGTATATTTATATATGTAATATATATATTATTATTTATATATTATTATATAAATCATTCTAATTTTTAATATATTTTATATTTTTTTTTTTTTATATTATTGTTTATATTAAAAATAAATATTTACAGATAAGTATTTTTATTAGTCAATAAAATTATCTTAATATTTATTAGGAAAATTATGAAATTGAGAAAAATATTTCTATTGAAAAAGATAATAAATCCAATTCAAGTTCAAATTCTTCACATTCATCTGAAAAATAATATGATGAATTAAATACAGATAATATTGAATAAAAAAAGAAAAAAGATAATTAAAATAAATTTACTTAATAATTTATGAAAGCATTTAATGTTTTAAGGTAATTTATATTTATTTATTATTTATATTTTTTTTTTTATTATATATATATATATATAAGGTTAATAGAATTATGTTTAAATAATACTCATTTTTGTTAGCTTTTTTCTAGTCATATTGATAGGGTACATCTATATACTATTTATAAGGAATTTTTTAAAAATTTAAATTCGGAAGTGATTCATTTAGAAATATAATTAAAAAAAGAAACATATGTTGAATTTTTAGAGTTTTAAATGGTTATATTATCTTTGATAGAAAAATTAAATATATAACTATAATCACAAAAAGAAATTCGAGAAATTTAAACTGTAAAAGAACAAAAATATACATAAAATTAAGAAATAAGAAAAAATAAAATTTTGTAAAATATTCGCAAACTTAATTTAATTAATGTTATTGGGGAAAAAGAAGTTGATGAGTTATAATTATATGTACTTAACCATATAAATTAATAATTAAATAATTTAATTAGTTAGTTTTATGATATGCCTGAAAAAGGACTTGCTTAATAAATAAATAATATTGCAGAATAATAAGATATTGCTGAGAAAAACTTTAATAGGGAAAAACTCATTTCTAAAGTTTTTTATTTCAATTAATTAATAAAAACAGCTGGGTCTTTTTCAGCAATAATATCTTAGGCGGGAGAAAACAAGAACTTATTTAAAAAAGTAACAAGTTTATTCGTGAAAAATAATAACGATTGTTTAATATTAAGTGGACTATGTAAATATATTAAATATAAGTTAATTTATTTCACTTTCAGTAGTTTTGAAGAATTAGACGCTTTTTTATAATAGATAAATTATTGTGTATATTTTTTAGATTATTTGCATTTTAATAGTAAAAGTTATGAGAATTTAATCCTTTTGGGTTAACTTTATTTAGAAAATGATGACTTTAATAAATATTATGTTTAAAATTTATAATATGCATCGAATTTGTATTTAGATAAAATGTAAAATAATACATCAGTATTGGAGTGTATGTATGATATTTTGGATTTATTTAATTTATTCTATAAAGATGAAAATTCGAATATTTTTAGAATATCTAATAATTATAAATTCTAAAATAATAATCCAAAAAGTAAACAGATTAAAAATCTCAAAAAAACAGTCATTAATACACTCAATTCAAATAATAGAAAATAGGCTTTACTTAATCTTTTACATGTTAAATTGCCCATTATTACAGTATAAGTGGCAAGATAATTCCTTTCTTTGCCTTTATTTTAAGAAAATAATACTAATTAAGTATTATGGACGTATTAAGACTTAGATATTCTGTTAGATTCACTTAAGGATTTGTACATTTAATAATAAGATAAATAAAATGAATAAGATATATCTTATATTTTATTAATATTTTGTAGATATTATTCTATGGTAGATTAAAAATAGGCTGACTTATTTACAAATGGAGGAAGTAATGCTGCGATATTAATTTAATATACAATAAGCATGTAAAAAATAAAAATTTAAATAATAAATTAATACAAAAAATTAGTTTAAATTCTACAATATATAATAATTAATAAACAATATCTCCAGCTGAATTAAAAAATTAGACTGATTTATGTTTTGTGTGTGTATTTTTACTATAAAAGCTTTTAAGAAACGGACAAGTACGTGAAATTCTTCAATTAGTGGAATATTTAAATAAAGTAAAGTAGTGTATGTAAAAAGAATAGTTATTATTCGAGGATAATTAATATCCAATATATATAGAAAGCATATGTTAGAATATTGAATATATATTATAGTGTTTCGAAGGAAAAATATTACTAAAAACATTTTCTATGTAAACTTTTAGATTAATAAGTAAAATTTCGGAATGCTTAGAAGGTATTTAATTATACGAAAATTTAAGTGAAGATGCAAATATGGAAAAAAATGATGTTTTTCAAAATAATAATAGTATTTTAAAAGATGAGAATTAATTATTGAAAGAAATAAAATAATTATAAAAGGATAATCAAAATTTAAAAGTTGAATTATAATAAAAAGATTAATAGGATAGTATTTATTAATGTACCGAGATTCTTATTTAAGAATTAGAAGATAAGAAATATAAAAAGAATTAGAGTATAGATAATAATTATATAAAGTCAAAAACTAAAATAGATCGTTATGGGAAAGATAATAAATTTAGTAGTCTTTAAAGATTTTTATTAGACAATACTTATAATGAAAATGAAATTAAGAGCTTTTAAAGTATTTATAATTAGTTTAGTAAGAAACACGCACATTAAATAAAGTTAGAAATCCTCCCTTGGATGCCTGGGATGAAAAAAAAGAAGAAAAATAATAAAAATGACAATATTGATGCTTAATTAGAAAACTTTTATACGATTTAACATAATTTATTTTCTTAATAATAGGGTTTAACGAGAATACTTAATTTTCTTAATTCGGAAAAAATTAATATTTTTATAGATTAAATAGATGAATATGTGATTTTATAAAAATAGAGTTTAAATGAAAAAGAAAGGATTATTTAAGAAAAAAATGGGAAAAATTAAAAAAAAGAGTTTTCTTAATAAATATGTGAAATTTTATTTATGGGAGAAAAACATGTATTGATTGACAAAGAAATTAAAAAAATTATTAATTATTAGTTTTTTGATAATGATTATGAACATGAATAGTTTGTTTTTGAGAATATTTTTTTAAATAATTAACTAGAAAATATAAATGATGAGGATATTTTTAATCTTTTTATTCAAAAAAAAGATATTAATATATCTTTTATTAATTAAAAAATTCAAATAAACTAAAATTCGATTATTATATCCGCTTTTCTTAAAACTATTTATTTTTCAATAGTAAATGCGCCTTCTTAATAAATAAAATTAGAAATAATTTAATAATTAAGTAATAAAATAAACTTCGAAAAAATAAAAAAACTATGTTAAAGTGTAGAATATACGTTATGTAATGTAGGATAAAAATTCCTTATAATATCTCATAAATTAATAAAGCAAAAAAAAAGTTTAAAAATATAATATATATATAGATAAACATAAATAAATAAATATATATATATATATATATAAATAGATATATATATATATATATATATATATATACATATTTATATATATATATCTTTATATCTATTTATATATATAATTATTAATATATTTCTATATATATTAAACTAGATAAATTTGTTCCTGAAATAGGTCCCAATAAATAAAAATAAATGTAAAATGTAAATAATAACAATAATAGTATTTATTAAGGATTTGGAAATTAACAATAATCGTTTTTTTTATATTAATTAATATTTGGTTCTGTAGAAGAAATGATTAATATATTATATAAAAGAATGTTAAAAATAAAAAGAAGCACTTTTTAAGATATGGTTTTATTACAGTAAATATCTAAAACATTACATTTGATTTTAAAATAAATTAGTTATATTCAATTAGATGATATTCCTTATTAACCTATATAAAGAGAGCATCCTGGAATTAATTTCTATGGGTACAAAAATGTTATTGTTAAGATAATTAGTGACTTTTTTAATATTAATTTAATTAACAAATTAAGCCAATTATACATTAATGATAAAGTAAATGATTAAAAAGGATATAAAACTACTTAAATGTTGTAAATTCATTTCAGTTTTATTTAATTTTGGGGACATTTTACTTCACTGTAGCCCTAAAACATATATAAATTACTAAGCTAATTAAATATGCATGAAATAGATAATATATAGAAACCAAAAGGCGAAAATAATTATAAAAATGCACATTTTTGTTATATAAATACATATTTAAAGAGTTGGAAAAATTCAAATTTAGCTTTTTCTATTTTAGAATTTTTGCATTTTTCAAATGAATGTCTAAGTAAGAATAAACAAGAAATTTTATTAGAATTTTCGCCTATTTTTATGCGAAAAGAGGAAGCTGAAATATACGAAAAGAAGTTTTTTTTATTAACTGATAAAGGTATTTATATTGTTTAGATATAAAATGCAAAAAAATGTAATTTTTGTGTATATGGAAGCCTTTGTGTGGAGAAAATAAAGATAGAATGTAAGTTTTCATTTGATTTTTTAAATGAGAGTTTTTTTTTCGTTTAATAAGTTTTTTTGGGGTTTTCGAAATTATAATTAAGGTTTATAATCTAAATGACATAAAATAATTACTTTAATAATAAAAATTATAAAGAAATGAGTTTTTATATTATTTTCTAAAATATATTCGTGGCAGAAAATATCTTTAAGATTTTAAATGATTTTCTACATAATAAAATAGGAAAAAATGATCCTTTATTATCTTTAATGTATTATTCAATATTTAATACATAAAATTATTAGTAGATTTAGGAAGAATAAGACAATATTAGTTAGTAGTTTTTTACTGTTTACGAAGATAATCAATTATTTATACTTTGTTATGATAAAGAATACCCACACGAGGTTATTTTAGTTCAAGAATAGGCAAATATGATGAATGTTTAAAGGAAGAATTTAGGTTCAATATTGAATACGTATAAAATGTATGAAAGTTGTAGAAAAATGAGGAATTTGACGAAAGAATAGGATTTAATTTACCATAAAATAGCTTATATGTAATAGCTTTATTCTAATAATTTATATGAGAGTATAAATAAATGTTTCAAATTTAAAAGGATTAACATAAAAAGATTTTTTAGAGTGAAATTCTCAAATGAAGAAACTCCTTTAGTCAGCTTTTTATTGAAAATAAAAGATTAGGATGATGAAAGTGACCTTATTTCAAGAAACTAAATCATAATAAAAAATAATGCGGAGGATGATTATATTAAAATACAGTTTTAAACAAGAATTTAGCATGTTTAGTAAAAAGAAGTACATATAAGATTTTGGAGTGAGTTTTCAAGATAAATTTTTAAGGAAGTTTTTGAATAAAAAAATGAATAAAAAATAATAGAAGAATAAATGTTAAAGGAAGTTTATAGTAAATTCACAATTCCAGTTAATTTATCATAAAATTAAAATAGTATTAATAATAATATTAATAATAATATTAATAATAATAATAATAAATAGCCAATTAAAATTGAAGTATATAAAAAATAACATTAGAAAAATTAATCAAGCTTTAATTATAAAAATATTGAATAAAATAAATAACAATTTAATGAAGGTTTTAATATCATATAATTTAAAGGCAAATTAAATTTGCATTAAAATTGATTATATATAAGTAGTGTTTATTTAAGTATTATTATAAATTAAATATGTTTTAAAAAATAATATATAAATTAATATTATTAATATTAAATAACATAAATTATATATATATATATTATATTTATATATATATATATATATATATATTTAATTATATATTTAATTATATATTCAAGTTAATAATAATAAAATATACATGAGTGACGAAAAGAATAAAAAAAACAAAATAAAACTAAGAAATGAATTATTAGAATTTGAAAATGAATACTACGACAATATAAAAAAGAAAATAGTCAGAACTCGTCGAACAAAAATAATAGCAACTGTAAGTTAGGATAGATATACTACATATGATTAAATTAAGGCTTTATATAAATCAGGAGTCAATTCTTTTTTAATTAATATGTCTTATTGTCATAAATAATTTATTACATAAATTTCTTTATGGAGAAATTAATTAGAAGAAGAATTTAATACTTTTATTCCTATTACATGTGTTTTAAAAAGCAATTTAGCTAGAATAGGCTTTTTACAATAAGCATAGATATTTTTAAAAAAAGTAAAAACAAATTAAGAAATATTATGTATATATATATATATACAAATATAAATTAGGATTAAGAATATAGATTAATATTAAAAAAAGATATATTAGGTGATTAATATATATGTAGTATAGATTAATTAAATATAAAGAGAAATTTAGTAATAAACTCAAAAATAATAATTGATTATGGACTAGTATCGTTAACAGTAATAAAGCTTGAGAAAAGTAGTGACACATTGAATTATTTAAAGGAGAATTTCCCAAATGAAATTCAATATTTAAACGGAAAATTTAAAAAAAAGCAGAAAATTTACACTACTTAAAATAAAAATGGTGAAAAAAAGCCTTAAATCTATGATGTTATAGTATGTAAAGTAGACGGTGATTGTTTTTTAAAAAGCTATAAACCAATTTTTATTTAAAAAAACACAAACCCAAACGAAGAAGAGGATAATAATACAGAAGAAGAAAACGATCTCATATAGTAAAAAGACAAAGAAGATATTAAAATAGCCCTACAAAACGACATTGACTGTATTTGTATTGCCAACGTAGAAAACAGTGATGATTTAAAATACGCTCGAGAACTACTAAACGATAAAAATATTAAATTAATAGCTAAAATATAGAACTAAGCTGCCGTAAAAAACTTTGATGAAATCATAAAAGAGGCCGATGCTTTAATAATAGCTCGAGGATATTTGACTGTATAAATCCCTGTTGAAAAATTACACTATATACAGAAAGAAATGTTTCAGAAATGTATTTAATAGAGAAAAATAGTGATGGTTTCTTGTAATATCTTAGAGTGTATGGTTTCTTCACTATTACCTATGACTTGTGAAGTTGGAGAGATTTTCAATTTAGTAAGTGAGTGTGTAGATAATATTATATTGTCATCCGAGACTGCTTTTGGGAATTTTCCAGTTTAGGCAATAGAAACTTTATCTAGAATCTGTATAGAAACTGAAGCTAATTAAATTTTGAAAAATAAAGAAGAAAAAAAAATAAAGGAAATTTAGACTTTTTTAAGCACTCTTAAATAACTAATACAGTTGTATATTCAGCTCTTGAAGCATCTTATAATATATAAGCCAGTTTAATAGTAGTATTTAGCTCGACTGGAAATACTGCACTTAAATTATCAAAATTAAGGCCTCCTTGTCCTATTATTGTTATTACTTCATGTAAAAAATTGGCAAGATATATTAATTATCTATCCTCTGTTAGTACTAGAGTGTTTAATTCACTAAGTGGAAGTTAGGAATTAGTAAGAAAAGTGATTTAAGAATGCAAAAAAGGCGATTTTGTAAAAGTTGGAGACTATTTTGTAGTAGTAGCGGGAGAAATAGAAAATTTATCAGGGACTATAAACAATGTTAAAATTATGTAAGTGGAATGAATAATATAATATATATATATATATATATATATATATATATATTATATAATTTTATAATATTATTTATTTTATTTATTTTACAATTTTTATTTAATATTTTTCGTTTTTAATTATTTATTTTTTCTTTTCTTTTATTTTTTTATTTTTATTTTTTAATATTTACAGCAAAATCATTTTATAATTAGAATCATTATAAATTTAAAAATCTAATTAAAATAGTAATTAATAATTAAATTTTTCTTCTATCTCAAGTTTTATCTAATACAATTTTTTTTTTTATTTTGTTAACTTTAATTATAGAGAAGTAAAAGTTATATTATTATGTTAATAAATTTAATTTTTAAGATTTAAAGAATGAAGATTTTCATAATAGAAATTATTTCTATTCACTTTTTTTTTCTATATTTTTCCTGCTTATTACATATCCATAATATTTGAAATTTCTTTATACACAGCATTTAAATAATATGATTTTTTTGAATTATCTATGCTTTTTATCAAACTTTTTATTAAGATCTAATTAATATAATAAATTTCCAAGAATTAATATTTACATTATTTATATTAAAATCCTTAAAACAAAATAAACTAAAAAAAAATTTAGTTAAATCATTCTAACATTATTATTTTTTTTTCTTCAACTTCAACTTCAACTTCTATTTTTTTACTTATAAAATATATAATATAAAATATAATATAATATAATATAATATAATATAATATTTTATTATATTTTTAATAAATTTTATATATATAAAATTATAATGATTTTTTTGCTTTTTTTTTTTGAATATATATATGGTATTTCAACCAACTATACAGAAAGCTATGTTTAACCGAAATTCACATATAGTTAATTTATTAGAAGCACAGTTTTATTTTTAGATAACGATTTTCAAGCCGGATAAATAAAGTCTGAAATCTCAATTACTGGAACTATTGAAGAATAAAATATAAATAATTAAGAAGATAAAAAAATTAACGCTTAATTTTACGATCTTTTACTTTTTAATAATTCCAATAATAATTATTTCATGACTTATATCAAATGCCAATAAAATAATTTTTTGAATGTATAAAACATATTTAATTAATGTATTAGTTGTTAATAATGTTTAAAATCTATTAATAATAATACATTTTAACTTAATCTTATTGATAATTATCATATTTATTAATAATATGGATATCGTATATTAATTATTTATTTATTTTTAAATATGGTTATTTTTATATAATAGTTTGCTGTCTCAATTGTAGTTTAAATTAACAAATTAGTATAAATTTAATTGGTTTAAATGAAGAAAACGAACTTAATAGATTATTAGATAGTACTTAGGAAATACCAAGTATAATTTTAATTGACAATACAGCTTTTCCTGATGGAGATTATTAAAATATATAAGATATTATTTTTAAAACTACTGTGAAAACTTTTGTATAGGCTAATGAGAGTTATTTTATTGCTACTATTTATTTAGTGATTGTTTTGTGTGTTATTTTAGTCATTATTTGTATTTTGTTTTTTTCTATGAGATATTAATATAATAATGAAAAGAAAAAGAAAAAGGAATATTGAGATAAAATATATATACAAATATTTATATTTATATCTATTTTTATTTTAATTTTTTTATTAACTTTTTAGAAAAAAAAAAAAAATACAATAAAATAAAATAAATGTATTTTTAATAATAATATTAAAAAAAAAATGAAAATTCGAATATTAATCAATTATTAAATTATTTGAATAAGTTTATTAAAATATAAAAAAAAAGATAATAAAATTTTTGTCAACTTTTATAGCTTAATTTAAAGTCTCAATAGGATACATAAATTTATAATCCAAACAAGTTATAAGAATTTATAAAAAATGAAGAAATATTTAGAGGAAAAGAAGAAAATGAAATCCATTAGTAGATTCTTGGTAATTTAATAGAAGATAAAAGTCATTAAAAACGTTATTTAAATAGGTTTTGTACGCGAATATTGGAAATAAATAATGAATATAATAATCTATTAAAAATAGGATAATTATATGACAAAGAAAAGGAAAAAGAGAGTCAAATCTTTAAAGAAAAAATTAATAAAATTATAAATAAAAATAAAATTGATATTTAACTAATTTTAGAATTATAAATAAAGTATTTTTAGAAAAAAATAAATGAATAGTTATAGTAATAAACAAATGAAAAAAACTTTGAAAAAAAAAATAGTTTTGTTAATTTAGAATAAAAAATGATAATTTTTGATAAATAAATAACCATATAAAAATAAAATATTGGATTTTATGAAAAAATATGTTATTAATTATATGGAGTTTTAGATTTAGATATAGATTATACAAGACAATATGTGAGGATTTTCAGTTAAAATAAAAATTTTAGTGAACTTTTGGTAAAAAATTCTTTTGTTTAAAAAAAAATAAAGAATTATTATAATGTTTTTGAAGAAAATAAGTATATTTTTGATGATATATGTAATAGATAAAATTAATTTATTGATGAAAAAAATTAAAAAAAGAAAATATTTTCAACTTTAAAATTTATTTACGTAAATTTTTTTAATAAGGATAGTAGTGAAATATAAAAAAATTAAAAAAATTTAAGTGAAAATTAGAAAAAAAAAAACAATTTTATTTCTTAATATAAAAAAAAAAAGTTATTCAAATATTATTAATAAACTAATTAAAATAAAAAAATAAAAACAGTCTAAAATATTTAATAATATTAGAATTAAAAAAATTTATATTCAAATGATTTTTGTTAATAAAAAGAGGAATTATAATTGTAAAATGAATATTAAGTATTTTATAATTTATTATAGAGAAATATAATATAAAAATTTTATATAATTTATAAAAATATTTAATTTAAAATTAATTTTTTATATATAATTTTATTATTTTTTATAAAAGAGTATAAAATAATAAAGATCTAAATCATTAAATTATAATAAAATATAATTAAAAAATGTAAATATTTAGAAAAAAGGTAATAATTAAAGTGAAATTATATTTTAATAAAATAAAAAAAAAATTAATAATAATAATAATAATAATAATAATAATAATAACAATAACAATAACAATAACAATAACAATAACAATAACAATAACAATAACAATAACAATAACAATAACAATAACAATAACAATAACAATAACAATAACAATAACAATAACAATAACAATAACAATAACAATAACAATAACAATAACAATAACAATAACAATAACAATAACAATAACAATAACAATAACAATAACAATAACAATAACAATAACAATAACAATAACAATAACAATAACAATAACAATAACAATAACAATAACAATAACAATAACAATAACAATAACAATAACAATAACAATAACAATAACAATAACAATAACAATAACAATAACAATAACAATAACAATAACAATAACAATAACAATAACAATAACAATAACAATAACAATAACAATAACAATAACAATAATTAAATAAATACACAGACAGGAAAAAAAAATATTAATATAAATAAAAAATAAGAATTAAATCTTCCATAAATTTACATTAATTAATTAAAAGTTAATAATATTTATTATTCTTTTATTGAAAATTAAAATTATTAAAATGAAAATAATGTTTTTAAAAGATTTTATAAGTCTAAATTAAAAATTTTAAATAAAAAAAATAAAAAATAAGATACCTGTATTTTATTAAATTAATATAAAGATGACTTAAAAAAATAAAATAATTCTTTTTATTAAAATAATATATTGTTTCCTTAATTAATTTCGAAAAGACATAAGAATAAAAAAGAATTAAGAAATACTATATAAGAAACTAATAAAAAATAAACAATTTATTTTAATTAATAATAATACTAACAATAATAATAATAATGATAATATATTTATTTTATTTTAAAATAAAAAATATAATTTATTATGTTTTTAAATTTTTTTATTAAATACAAAAGAAATATTTTTAAAGTTTATATTAAAATTAATAAAACTTAATTCATTTTAAGTGAAATAATGAAATATTTAATTTTAAAAATAATTAATTAATAATATATTATAAATAAAAAATAATATATATATATATATATATATATTATGTATTTAATAAAAATAATTAGACATTATAGTATTTTTATAATAGTTAAAATTAATTTAAAATTAACAAAAAATTAAATTAATTTTTTATTATTATAAAGATTATATTCTTCTAAATAAATAAAAACATAAATAAAATAATGTAAATAATAGTATTAATTTATAAATTATATTTTTATTTTATATAAATTTAAAGTCTGTATTTATTTATTTAACTTTTATTAATAAAAAGAAATATAATTTATTTAATTAATAATTATTTTTATTTCTATATTATGAAAAAGATAAATAGCCATATTCATTTTGTTTATACATTTTTTTTATGTAGTTTTATAAAAATAAATAATAAAAAAATCAAAGTAATATGAAAATATACTTAAATAAATAATATATATATATTAACTTTTTGTAATTTAAATATTTAGTTTTTTTATTAATTATTACTCTATAAATTTATACTAAAAAATATTAATTTTTTTTTTATTTAATATTATTTTAATTTACATTGAATTTAAAGATTTTATTAAAAAAAAAAAAAATATTTTTTAAAAATATGGGTCCTAAAAAACAAAGTAAAATAATAAAAAAAGTAAAAAACCAAAAAAAAAAAAATATAGAAAAAGAAGACGATTCCTAATTTGAAGAAGCCGAAAAAAATTACAAGAAAAATTAAAACAACTCGAAAAGCAATCTTTAAAGGAAAAAGATGAAAAAAATTCTTAAAAGAACATTTTTGCTTCTAAAATAGAATAATTTCCTTTAGTCCCAAAATAAAAAAAATAACAAGAAAATTCAATACAAGATGAAAAAAATAAAGAAAAGGAAAAAAATAATTAAGACGAAAAAAAAAAGTAGAGCCATAGAAAGAAACCAAAAGCCAATAATAAAGAAAATAAGTATAAAAAAAGGAAAACCGAAAAAAACTACAAACAAAAGAAATTCCTGAAAGAAATCATAAATATGAAGACGAAGAGAGTTCTATTGATAATAACAATGCCGAAAATAATGAATATTTAAGTGAGTCTGATTTAGAAGAAGAGGAAGAAGAATAATAATAAAAATAATAATACGAAAAAAAGAATAAAAAAAAAAGCAATAACAATTAAAAATAATAAAAAGAAAATTAAGCACATGAAAATCATGTACACTAAAAAAAAAATGAAGAAAAAGGAAATCACTGTCTTTTTATGTTAATTTTATTTATTTTAATATCTCTTATTACTGTTTCTAAATATTTCGAAGAATCATACCAAAAAATGAAATAAGTGGGAAATGGAGAAGACTTATATAGTGTTTTAGGTGTAGATTAGAATGCTTCTAGATCTGAAATAAAAGCTGCTTTTAGAAAAATGTCTTTATTATTGTAAAAAAAATAAATAATTAAATATAATAAAAATATAATATTTTAATTAATACAAAGACATCCGGATAAAAATCCAAACTGTGGATAACCATGCTAAGAGTAATTTTATAAAGTTTCAGAAGCTTGGAAAATATTAGGAAATAATGAATAAAGATAAAATTATGATTAAGTATAATAATATAAATGATATAAAATTATATATATATATAAAATAATTAAAAAATAAAAAATAAATAAAACAATAAATATATGAATAAAAAAATAAATATATGAATATAAAATATATAAATTTATAAATATATAAATATATAAATAAATAAATATATATATATATATATATATATATATACATATATTTATTTATAATTTTTTTTATATTTTATTAGACTCATGGTGTATCTTCAAATATAAAAAGTAAAGCTGTATAATTAAATAGTAGAAATTTTGAATAATTTGTTCTTTAATCTTCTGATGTATGGATTATAGAAGTATATGAAAATGGTGATGGTATGTGTGAATAAATGAGTCCTTTTTGGGAAAGTCTTATCTAAGAATATGGACATGTTGTTAAATTCGGAAGAGTTAATAGAGAAATAGATTATCAAGTTTTAAAATTTTTAAGTTTTAAAGTATAGCTTTTACCTACTATTTTTTCTGTTGTAGGGGGTTTAGAAGGTTCTTTTTATACTTTAGATAGAAGGAATCTTGAATAAAGTTTAAAAACATTCGTTTAGAAAACAATTACGAATAAATTGGAGATTATTGCTAAGGAAAAAAGTACTGAATATTTAACTTTTTTAGAAGAATACGAAATTGGTAAGAAAATAGACATTGTTTATTTTTTTAAAATGGATAAAATTCCTATTTAATATAAATATACGGCTTTGAAATATTTCGAGTATATGAATTTTTATATAGCGAAATATGGAGATGCTGATTATATATAAAGATAATGGAAATGTTAAAATTTAGTAGTTTTTTTAAATGATGATGAGAAATAAAAAAGAATTCGTTTAGAATTTAATATGGGAAGGAATTTTAATGTACAAGTTTTTAATTAAGTTTTGAATTATTTGAAGTTTAGGTTAACACCGGAAGTTTTTAAGGAAAACTTCAATGATTTTTGCAAAAATGAGTAACTGAGAATTTCAGAAGAGGAATTTGACTCCATGTAAGAAGGCGATTTTTAAACACTTTGTATTATTTTGGTTAAATAGGCCAAATATTTCAAAAAATATCAAAATAAAGTAAATTTATTTCATTAGTCTTTTAAAAAAGAATCATTGAGTAAATTAGAAAAAGGTAATGAGAGAATATTTGATAATTATCATAATATATAATTTGTTGTTGTTGATTTAAATAAACATTGGAGGCTTTAAAAAGTATTAAACGATTTTATAAAAGATTAAGAAATATAAGATATGTAAATGTTTGCATTATTAGCTGAAAATAATAAAATTACAGCATTAAAACATATTGAATCCTTTGAATTTTGGATTGAAGATCTTTTAGATTAATAAATTGAATTTTCTTATTTAAATAAATATCTAGGAAATAATAAACATATTTATGATTAATTAAGATATTCTTATGAAAATAACTTTAGTGTATAATTTATATATAAATATAAAAATATAAATATATAATAAATAAATATATATATATATATAAATATTATTTATTAAATTTAATATTAGATTATTTATAAATAAATAATTAAAAATATGGTAGATTGGAAATATATAATTACTTTTATTATTTCTTTTATTACTTTTCTAATTATATGGAATTCTTAAGTTGCATTTAAAATAAGTACAATTTTATATGTCATTTGCATTGTTTTTTAAACTCTATTATAAACATATGAGGATATATTATAGAAATGAGAAATAATATAAATATAAAATATATATATATATATATTTATATATATATATATACATTTATATATATATATATGTATTTATTTCTATTGCATATATAATTTTATATTTTATTATATATTTAATTTTTTAAAAAAATTTAATTCATTTTCATTATAATAATATTTTTTTATTTTTTTTTTTAATTATATTAATTTATATAAATATTTAATTTTTTTTTTTTTATCAAAAAAATAAGATTTAATTTTTAATAAATGTAATAAAATCCTAAAAAACAATTTTTTTTGCGTTTAATAGCTCCTAAACCATTTTAAATAGATGAGTTTTTATTAAAATTTGATAATGAACGCGAATTTTTTCAAAATATTCAAAAAAAAATTTAATAAACAAAAAATATTGACTACTTTCCTATTATAAATATTGTATTTTAAATTACATATGATAAAAATTTTAATACTTATAATCTTTATTCAACTATAAGTCAACTTTTTTCTATAGAAAAAATTCAAATAAATAATTCTATACAAATTTAATAGGTAATTCCCCCTCTTTTACAACTTTTCGAGAAATCCCTTCAAAAAAAATCTATTGAAGACATTAATAATATACTGAAGATATCCCTATTTTTATAAATTGAAGATTTTTAGCATGTAGAAAAGCAGTTAGGTCCTTTAATTGTTTTATTTACGAAAATGTTATAACTTCCTTAGGAAAACGAGGAGGATATTTCAAAGAGAATACATAAACTAGTACTTATTAATATTGAGAATTGCCTAAAAAATACGTCTAAGTACTTTTAAAATGAACTATAGATAATATTTAAGCGTTAATTTGAGCTTTTTATATATATATAATAATAATAAATTAACTAAAAGTAGGTTAAAATATTGTTAAGAAGTCTTTTTTTTATCATAAACGAATTGAAAGAAAACAAAGTGTTTTTAAGTGATTAGAATAATATGAAAATTTGTGAAAAAATAGTATAAAAAACATTAAAATATTTATTTTTTGGATAAAAGTTATTTCATGAATAAATTTTTGGTTTATAATAAAATTGTGAAAATATTAATATTATTACGGCAAGTTCTTCTAGTTTAAGCGAATTTTCAGAAAATGAATAAAAAAATAATTTCGATGGAAGAAAAAAAAAAGAAGAAATAAAAATTAGGTAAAATGCGGGGAAATTAATTTTGGTTTTTTTAAAAAATTTTTAGGTTTTGGCAAGAAATAATTATTTCTTTTTTATTAAAAATAATGAGTTTACAGATAATTATGTTAGTTTAATTATTTAGAATTTATTTAATAGTTCAAATATAGTTAATTCTTGTGAGGTATCTTAAAATAATTATGCAGATTTAAATCTACTTAGTGCAGCTTATTACGAAGAAAAAATTAATATTAAAATAAATTTAATTAATATTATTTAAGTTTTAGTAGAAAATATAGGGTAAAATAGTAAATAATTAATGAGTGGGTTTGATATTTAAAAGAAAATTAAAAAATAAAATTTCAAACCTTAATCTTATTAATTATTTGAAAGTTGGAAAAATATATATTTCTTTTGTTTACATTAATTAGAATTTAATAATAATAATAATAATAATAATAATAATAATAATAATAGTTTAATTTTGAAAGGAATTTTTAAAATTTTAGAAAG